TAAATTTGAATATAACTGTTACTCACATCGAATTTTATTATTACTATATTATATTATTATATTATTATATTTTAAAATTTTAGTAGTTACTCACATCATTTTTATTATTATTATATTATTATATTTATAATAAATTTTGAATTTCATTTGACCGTTACTCACATAACTTTTTATTATTATTATATTATATTACTATTATATTAAAATTTTGAAATAAATGAATTTAGAAAATTTTCTTATTTAATTACTTTTAATCTCCACCTTCCATTATTCCTAACACAATCCAATGGTCAATATTCAATCCTACATTTTGCCACTTTTCTCCTCTATATAAACTCATCTTCCCCACATTTTTAAAACACACAACTTACATACATTCTTCAATCCTCATTTGTTCAAAATCTCCATTGTTTGTTGCTCTCTCCAAGCTTACAAGTTTATTTATTTTCATCTTATTCTTGAGAGGGATTATTATTATATTGTGAGGAAATAGTTGTCAGTATCCCAAATTGTAAATCTACTCTTTGAGAGAGTTGTGGTGTGATATTATCAAACTCAAATACTTGTTTCGGTTTGATCCTACGCCGTGGAAAGGATTGAGTTTGCTCTTGAACTCGTAAAAAGAGCGGTGTACCGGTTTGGCTCTGATCCGTGGAAAGAGTCGGAAAAGTTCTTTATTCAAATTCCCAAGAGGCGCTTGGGGAGTGGAGTAGGTCGAGTTTGACCGAACCACTATAAAACTACGGTGTCATTTTCTCTAACTCTTTCCTATTTAATTTCAAGATTATTATTATGATTTATTGCATGTTCTACTTGATTATTGTTTTGACTTGAATTATTTTGTTTTAGTAATTATCATCTTCTACTTATTTGTAAAAAGTTTTATCATTAGAAAAATTAATCAAGTTTAAACACTTTTATCGTTAAAACCCTATTCACCCCCCCTCTAGGGTTGCCATACCGATCCAACAGATCTTGTAGACTCGCCTACGACGTAGGATTGACATGTTCCACGGTTTAATCGTCGATGCCCCGTCGCTGTCAGGTACACTTAGCGAAGGATGAGAAAAGGACGGACATTTTTGTGATATATTTAATGTGATGGGCTTTAAATATTGAATGGTATGATAATGTATGCTTTTATGCTATGATATGATTTTATGCCAATGCATGCCTTTAAATTACCGCAATAATGTTTTCTTAAGTTATATGGTAGATTGCAAATAATATTATTAGTAAACAATAGACTTAGAATTATTTTTGGTTTCTAGAACCATGCCGCCCAGAGAACTCAAAAAAAGTAGAAGAGGAAGGGACGACCCCCCACTAGCGGAAGGGGAAGAGGAGAACTGGACACTATGCACTCGAACCACCACCAAGGGAACCCCCGTTATACCCTATACTTCCTCCAGAAAACGCACCTCCCCCACAAGTTGCACCACCTTCGATAGCACCAACAGGATTGGATCCCACCACATGATTAATGTGGGAATCATTCTAGGCGATGATGCAAACAATGATAGCCACACAACAAGCCACAGTGATGGCCACACAGCAAGCCACAATGATGGCCACACAGCAAGCCAACAACTCGCATTTGGACAAAGGGGCAAATTCGTATCGAGACTTCAAACGGTATGACCCCCATCCATTCATCGGTTCAAAGGAAGATCCTACAGCGGCTCAAATGTGGATCGCAACTATGGAAACGACCTTTGAATCAATGAGGTGTCCAGATGATCACAAAGTAGCTTGTGCGACATATGTGCTACATAAGGACGCAAAAGTGTAGTGGGTGGATAACAAAAACAATATCAACCCAGGAGAGGGGATCACGAAGTGGGATACATTTAAGGAAGCTTTCCTAAAACAGTACTATCTGAACGAAACCCGCATCAAGAAACAACAAGAATTCAATTACGTGACTTAGGGCGAACGCACCGTACATCAGTATGACCAGAAATTTATGAGGTTAAAGAGGTTTTGACCGTCACTAGTAGACATTGAGGAAAAGGAGACGGAAAAATTGTGTTGAACCCGATGACTCGCCGCATGGTTGAGACATTCAACCCAAAATCGTAGGAAGAGGCATTGAGGATGACCAAAGTTTCGGAAGGACCTTAGGAAGAGAAAAAACTCAGAGCCAACGGTTGCCGTAGGAAAGAAACACCCCATTGAGCCCAGGGCGACGGAAATCCAACCACTACTGCAAAGACCTCGATATCATGACAAGTGACTTGCCCCACCCCTAGTAGACCGAACCCCAGGACCGAAACGTGAAAAACCCCTGTATCGCGAATGTGGAAAACAACATTGAGGCATATGTATGACAAACTAGTGTATATTACAAGTGGAGTCGTGCAGGTCACATGGCCAGAGTCTGCCCTATAAGGGACACGGAAAACCCAAGGGAATCATCTAGAGGTCCTATTATTCGAGAACCCACCATGCAAATCCGCACACAGACCAGGGCATATGCAACGACCAGTAAGGATGCGGGAACGTCTTGCACCATGGTGACATGTACGCTTTCTATAGGACACTTTGCATTAACGTTGTTTGATTCAGGTTCGACCCATTCTTTTGTTTTCTTGCCTTTTGTTAGTCAAGCAAGGTTCATAGTTGAACCCTTATGGCATGTGTTGTCTATCGGTACCCCAACGGGAGTAGATCTAGTTACTGAAAATAGAGTAAAAGACAGACAAATAGTAGTAGCTGGACGAACTATCAAAGTAGACCTAAAAGTAGTAGATATGATGGGTTTCGACGTCATACTAGGAATGGACTAGCTACCGAAAACTTTGCTAGTATAGATGACCATAAGAAAGAAGTAGTATTCACACCTCCAAACGGACTTACCTTTAAATTTAAAGGAACTTGCACAGACACCACCCAAAAATAATATCGATGATGAAAGCTAGACGCTTGTACAACAAGGGGGATGAGTGATTCTAGCCTGTGCCATAGACATAAAAGGAAAAGAGAAAACAATGGATATGGTATTCATAGTAAACGAATTCCCAAATGTCTTCCCGGAGGATCTCTCAAGAATCCCTCCTTCACGAGTGGTAGAACTTCGAGATAGAATTTGAACCAGGAATGGGACACATCTCTAAAGCCACATACTGCATGGTCCCAACAGAATTAAAAGAACTTAAATTACAACTACGAGACTTATTAGATAAAAATTTCATTCGACCTAGTGTATTCTCTTGGGGTGCGCCAGTGTTGTTTGTTAAAAAAAAAGACGGTTCGATGTGTTTGTGCATTGACTGTAGAGAATTAAATAAGAGAACGATAAAGGACAAATAACCATTACCATGCATCGAGGACCTATTCAACCAATTTTGAGAAGCAACAGTATTTCCAAAATAAATCTAAGATCAGGATACCATCATGGCAGTTGCCCATTGCGTCGATTCCCTCGACTTTTTCGTTAAATTTTGTCACACATGCTTCCAGGAAGCGAACAGTACCAGGAACTTCTTTGAGGAACAATATTTTCTCCTCTATCAAAGTAAGTCGGTCGGCTTGTGCTTTGGGTGTCAACTTTGTCGTCGACATTGTTTCAGTCATAAATGTGTCAAGGAGCTAACAAAGCTCTGATATCACTTGTCATAATCACACTTTTCTTGGTAGCAGACTTTGCGATTGTGCGACACTCACTTCTTAGCAGCAAGTGAATTAAGCCAATTTGTATTCATGTCGCTTTTGGCCAAACAAGGTATGCTCAAGCCTCTGGCCCCCGATTTGAGAAGAAGGTTTTAGAAAATGGGAGCAAAGAGATTTTGAAAGCAAGGTTGAGTGAGAGATTAAAAACAGTGTTATATAGCATGCAAGCAAAGGTAATAACAACGATTTAAACAATATAACTTTTCAAGTAGGGAGAATTCAGGTTTGATAGGCCTATACGTGATTTCGCCAAATGGTCATACAAAATTAGGGCATGAGCATGAGCATGTTGCCATGGGTAACACACCCTGGACGAGCATGATCGTGATAGCTAGCCTACTCATTATCCAAGGGGAGGTTTGTTGGTGAACTCATCCCATAGGACTATATAGTCACCTGAAGTCAGGGGAATGACCCCCTGTACGTGCTAACTCCCATGACTAACCATGTGATCCACATCTCTCCCTAGGATGGATCTACACTACCAACATGGTTCATGTCCCTCAATAGGACAGGTCTGTAGTGCATAACAATCGAATTGATCTGTCAAATCGCACAACCCTAATCGGCCCCATGCTTGGCTCAATGATACAAGTACAAAAGTGGAACTTGATAGTATAAGTATTAGAGTGGAAACGTTAGTAGAGACTCCGACGGCTCAAGAGCTACCTTTGTCGTTCGTGTATGTCGCAGAGGTCTACTAGGTTCTTTGAGACATTTAGGTCGTTTAAATCACATCTCTCACTTCCAAGAAATCAAGTCTTTCTTTCTCCAATAGATTAACTAAAATTAAATAATAATATAATAATAATGCAACAAATTGACCCATGCTACAAAAAAAAAAATAAAAAAAACCCACGAATGATTTCCTTGGTAAATTTAAATTTATCTCTAATTAAATAGTTAAAAATAATTAGAAAAAAACATACCATTTATAATTTGGGAGAACTCATCCCAAACAACTTATTAAATTCAGGACTCCTATTTTTTTAAACTCCGACTTCAAAATTCAAAACAACTCTAAACACGAACTTTTTAAACTCTAAACTCTAACTTCAAAACCCGCACCCCAAACACCGAACTTATTAACTCCTAATTCATAACCAGACCCAATACCCGAAACTTTCCCCTAAATAAAGTTATTTGGAGGCTCCTTTAAAAGACATCTCTCCCATTTAATTTGGGCTTAATAAAAGTTTTCTGAAAAAAAAAAAAAAGGAAAAATTAGAAAAGAAAAAAAAAGAAAAAAGAAAAAAGAAAAAAGAAAAGCCATCCGCCCTCATTTATCTGGATAAGATAAAAACATTTTAAAGAATAGTCCTCTCTTCAAGAACAGTCTCGTTCCACTTGATAGAGAGTCTGGAGAGAGTTCAGAATGTAGAGAAGAGAGACCGATTACGAAAATGGAGGCCAATGCATGGAACCCTAAGACAATTTCAGAGAAGGAGGCTTCGCGACATTGTGGCAAGATTCATAAATGCATTCACTGTTTTCGAAATTCTCAGAGTTTGAATCTGTAAGCCGTGAAAACCACCGAAACCAGTGATTTTATTTCACTCGGGAACTGCACGTACTGAGAATTTCAGTTCTTCGTTTAAGGTGCTTGGAACGGATTGTTTTGCTGTTGCATGGAAGGAATTTTATGGAATCGCTACTCGTTTATTTTCATCGATTTCCTTGCCAACATTAACAATTGGAATTAAGAATGGCTATAGAGCTGTTTGATTGGTATTGTCGTCCAGTTTTTGGTGGCGTGTGGACAAATGCAGTGGATAATGCTTTTGGCGCTTATACACCATGTGCCATTGACTCTCTGGTGGTTGTTATTTCTCACCTGCTTGTTCTAGGTCTATGTATCTACAGAATATGGCTGATGAAAAAGAGTTCTGCAGTACAGAGGTTTTGTTTGAAGTCAAAGATTTACAATTATGTACTGTGTTTGTTGGCTGGTTACTGTACATCTGTGCTTTTATTCAAATTGATCATGGGAATTTCAGTCTTGAATTTAGATGGGCAGGCTGCACTCGGTCCATACGAGGTAGAGTGTTCCCTACAATACTTAGAATAATTTTATCCTGAAATTTAACATTCACACTGCAATGGCAATGTTGGCAATATTATTTTAAAAGGTTGATATGACCTGCAGTACGATATATGGGCGCTATAGGAAGAATTTGGTTTACTTTGTATTACTCTTTAGAACCAAAGATTCTAAGTGTGAAAAAGATTGAGACATCGTATGTTTAACTTGATGTACTAGGCAAGTAGAAATGTACTAACTAAGAAGTAATTTTGTTTAGTTTTGGACATGGTGAGTGGCTTTTTGATCGTGTTCACAGATATTAAGCCTTATGTCCTTTTGTTTCAGGTTGTTGCCCTGATAATTCAGGCCCTTACTTGGTTCTCAATGGTTGTAATGCTTGTTGCTGAAACCAAAGTTTATATTTTTGAATTTCGATGGATAATCAGATTTGGAGTTTTTTATATATTAGTAGCGGACGGTGTGATGCTCAACCTAATTCTTTCGGTGAAGGATTTGTACAAGAGGTATTTCTTATAGAAGCTATTATGTCTAAATTTCAAGTTACCATCATTTATGAACCTGGATGACATTTTACTGCTCTGTTCCTGCTGTTATTTCTTTGAATAATTAGAAGTTGTCATGTAAACAATCTATTATGCCTTTTGGAGATGTGGAAAGAACATAGAAGTACATCCTAAATATTATTTTGTTTGTCATAAAAAGAAGTAAAAAAGAGAGAAAATAAATTAAGATATTAATAGGGAATTCAGCTGCAAGTCCAAATTAGCTTTGCTTTTTTCCTTATTTTTTTGAGATGGGTACATTTTCCTTTTACAATACACAAATGATAAAATAAATCTTAGATACTAAGTAACAAGATAAGATAAATCTAAATAAATCTCTAATTATTAGGTAACAATATAGATAAGATTAACTACTTATCTTATTTAATGGGATTACATAAATATTCCTTAAATCAAGTTTTTTCTTCCACACTCCCCCTCAAGTTTGAGGAGTAGATATCATTCATTCCCAGCTTGGATACTAACTCATGAAACGTTAAGTTATGAAATCCGTTTGCTAATTGAAGTTGGGATGACACATAACTAATTGCATTCCTCGAATTTCTCCTCGATAAAATGTCGACCAATTTCAATATGTTTTGTCTTATCATGTTGAATAGAATCATGTGCAATATTGATGGCTGATTTATTGCCGCAGTACAACGTTATCAAACCTTCTCCCTTAATTTGTAAGTCATCAGGAATTATCTTCGACCATAAGAGTTCACATAACCCTTATGTAATAGCTCGAAATTTTGATTCAGCAGATGATCTAACCACCACATTTTGCTTCTTACTCCTCCATGTTACTAAATTACCTCCAAGAAAGGTACAATACCCTGCAGTAGATTTTCTGTCCACTCGGGAATTGTTCGGTTTGAGCAAAATTCATTTCTTAAAGTTCCTTTCAAATATGTAACACTCTATCTGTTGCATGAAGGTGAGATTCTATGCGGATCATGCATGAATTGTCTAATTACACTTATTGAGTATGCTATGTTTGGTCGAGTGTGAGCTAGATATATTATCTTTTCTACTAGCCTTTGGTACATTTCTCTGTCCAATATAAGTTCTTCCTTTGACTCACCCAATTTCTGATGTGGATCCATTTGGCGTTGATGTAGGTTTACATCCGCTTTTTCCTATTTCCATCAATAAATCAATCACATATTTTTGTTGTGTTATGAGAATGCCCTTAGCTAAATACGCTACTTCAATACCTAGAAAGTACTTCAGCCTTCCAAATTTCAAGTTCATATGTATTACAATGAAAGTTAGAGACTTGAAATACTTGAAAGAAATATGGAAACATAATTCTCAAAACTCTAAAGGAGGGATGACCCATGTGAAAGTGATGTAACCAACTCGCATCTTTATTGGAGGAACTAAGATCTTACACAGGTGCAGGGTGTCACAATCACACTTTCTCAAAACATTTGCAAGCGATTGTGCGAAACTCACTCTTACCACTGAGTGAGTCAACCAATTCAAATTTGATCCACCGTTGGCCAGATGACTCATACCCAAGCCTCTGGCTCTGTTTTGAGAAGAAAATTTTAGAAAATGGGGCAAAATGATTTTCAAAAAAGAAAATAAAAGTAATAATGAAAGAAAAGTTGAAAGCAATGTTATAAGATAGCAAGAAAGAAAGGCAACACAACGGCTTAGATGACATATAACTCCAAGTAGGAAGATTTACCAGGCATAGACATGATTTTTCCGAAACACCATACTCCTACTAAATACAATAATAAAACTATGCATCATGGAAATGGTAAATTAAAGTGATAAAGTTACTAACATGAGGGGCTTGACATGCCACGGGCATGCGGCCATGGGCAACATGCCCTGGACAAGCATGACTGTAGTATCCTTCCCCACTTAATTGGTTGATGTCCTGTTAACCGTCTTCTTTCGAAGTCAACGATATGACTTGTGGCAGACTGTAGGTCTTCGGTACGCTCCCAACTGATTTTTGCATTAGGCAGCCCCTTCCATTTTCCCTGGAACTCTTGGACGTCTCGCCACGGTTTGCCGACAAGATGCGTTCATTCATCAAAGATCTCTTCTATCTGTTTCTTAGTGGTATTTTTCATTGTGATTGGAGGGCGTTACTTTGTTGCGTCTGTGGTCTTCCTCATTGGGATGGTACAACTTCAAACTGCTTACATGGATGACAAGGTGAATTTTCATCTATGAGGGTACTTGAAGCCGATATGAAGTGTTTCCGACCTATTCAATGACTTCGATTGGTCCCTCATATTTTCGTACTAGTCTTTCATCTTTGTTGCCTTGGAACAGGAATTGTTCTTGTCTCAGCTTTATTAGAACTTGGTCACCTGCCTGTAATGGTGACATTGGTTCCATTTGCTACTGTAATTTTTCGATTACTTGGGTATGGTTTATATGTTTTAAAATATCGAGTGAGGAGTAATGTGATCAGCTGCACCAGAGTTTATAATCCAAGAATTATCCTTTGTTCATCTCTGAAACAAAAAGTGAAGGAAAACTTACCTGAGATTGTTAAGGTACTGGAACTTGATGGTTTGTTGAGGGAGTCAAATGATACCTTCAATCTCTCAATTTCTTCATTATTGAATCCACTAGTCTCCACAATTGGTGGCTTTTGTTATGAATTGGAACTCCTCTGTGATGTACTCTTGTGCCTTCAACATGTCTCCCTTGTTTCTCCAACCACGGTTTTGTGAGCCTCCTTGATTTTCCCATTCATGGTTGGGAGCTTTTCCATTCAACTTCCAGCAACTCTCCTTCGTGTGTCGCGGTTTCTTGTAGTGGGTACACCATAAATTGTCTCTGTTACTCTTCCATTTGTTGCCACTTCCGTTGTTTCTATCTTTCTCTATAGTAAAGGTTGATGCATCTGAACTGGGTTGTTTATCAAGCATGAGGTTTCGTTTGATCTCTTCTGCTCGAATAAGGGAAATTGTTTATTCTAGGCTTGATATTTCCTCTTTTCTAATTACTTGTACACGGACTTAGTCAAACTCATTGTTCAGACCTTCCAAAAAATTGTAAACATGATATGCTTCAATAAATTTCTTCAGGATTGTGGCATCTGCAGTGAAATTCATCTTTAATAGACGATAATAATCGAGTTCCTACCACAATGTTTGCAAGACATTGACATATTCCGTGACAGTTTATCCTTACTTCGTAGCTCTAATCTTGATCTTAATTTCATAAATCTGAGTAACATCTCTATCATTGGAGTAAGTGTGATGAACGAAATCTCATATGACTTGTGCGTTTTATAAAAACATACATGTATTACCGATGGATGACTCTATAGAATCCCAAAGCCATGACATTATCATGGAGTCTTCCTCGTCCCATGCAACTTTCTTATTCTTTTGAGATTGGTACATTTGCCTTCTATAATACACAAATGATAAAATAAATCTTAAGTACTAAGTAACAAGATAAGATATACCTAAATAAATTTCTAGTTACAAGATTAGATAAATTTAAATGAATCTCTAGTTACTATGTAACAATATAGATATGATTAACTACTTCCCTTATTTAATAGATTACATAAATATTTCTTCCATCAAAGTTTTTTCTTCAACAGGTAGGTCATAGATAGTTGTGAAATTTGATGACAATATCTGAATTTTGCAGTTTCTTTGAAAAAAGAAGTCATAGAAAATCGAACGGTAAATATGAATAGATTGTTTCCTTGTATATATATATCATATAATTATATTTATAGCTGTAATTTTTCTTTTCCATAGAGGTATAGATTGATTGATTATTTTTAGCATATTTGATTGAAAGTCTTCTTGTATAATTCCATCATTATTCACTCAAGGAATTTATAAATTATTTGCTCTTGTACATAACTTGAGCATTAGTCTCTTTCATCTCTTCAATAACCAGTTAGTTTCTTGTAAAAAACTGATCTTTATATATTTGGCGGTTCTCGAACCGCAGGGGAACTGAACTGATTACAACTCTACATAGAATTATGTTTATAGCTGTAATTATCTTTTTCCAGCATATTTGAATGAGAGTCTTTCTTGTATAAATCCCATCATTCTTCATTCAACGAATTAAGAAATTCTTTCCTCTCATATATATCTTCAAAGCTCGACCAGTCTCTTGAGCATACATTTACACATTCCATGAGTTCACATTTCTGTTTTGTCCTTTCAGATATGTCCTGTATTTGTATATCAGTGAAGTTTTCTTCCAGGTTAGTTTGTTTTCTCCCTTTAGTCTGTTATGCAAATTTTATATTATTTTGCACTTAATGGTGGAGAAGAATGTGAGCAAAGAGTAGTTTGGTGAATAGTGTTGGTATGAACTAAAGTAAAAAAGTTTAGCAATATCTGGTGTTCAACAGTTAAATATATAAAAAGCTATCTTTCTCTCTCGCTGCATGTTTTCTTTGTAAATGTTGTTCTTTCTTACACAACTTTGTTTAGTTTCCTTTTTCTAGCTCTGAGGGTGAGATTACTTACCCATTTAACTAAATCACGATTCATATTTTCCTGAATGTACAAAAATTAAAAATTGTTTCTGTTTGTTGCTTGCTCTAATTAATATGAATTAAAATGTAAAACAAGGATTTATTTTATTTTATTGTTATTTTTTGGATTGGGGATACTGCACTTCATTCAATATTGTTGAATGTATATTTCACAATATTAAATATGATTATTATGCATGAGCAACTAGTTTAATATGATTATTATGCATGAGCAACTAGCACTTGGGAAATTTAGATTGTTTCCAATGGGCATCCGTGTACAATATTGAGGAACTAAACATTTATGCATGTTTCATAAGGTACATATATAGTTTAATGTGAGTTTTGTCTCCAAATCCTAACAAGACACTCCTTTATGCTTGGGTATTCTTTGTAATGAGGCATTTGAGCTTCTGAGTTATATTCTTCGGGTTACAAGTTTGATTTCTCGATTCGAGGATCTTTTTCAAGACCTTTTGTTGTGGGTATGGCCTGTATAGTGTTTGTTGCCTCATGATGGAGGAGTTCTCATTCCATCGGCCTTGTCTTGATAAGGGGTGTGTCCTTTGGTGGACTGGTTTCTTAGCTGTTATTTATTGCACTTGGTTGGAGAGGAATGAGAGAAATTTTAGAGGATTTGAAAGTGTTGGAAAGATGTCTGGGACCTTGCCAACTCTAGTGCTTCTCTATGGCGCCTTTTCCGATAGACCTGTGTTATTACTCCTCGGTCATATTATTTTAGATTGAAGCCCTTTTTATCTTTTTAGGGCATTAGGTTCTATTTCGAGCATTTCCATCTATTCATTGATTCAGTTAGGGAGGCAGGACGATAACCCAAAAGAATTAACTAAGAAATCCTTCATAACCCTTTCTTATGATCGGAGTAGTAAGGAAAAATATGATTGAGGGTCTCCTCCTTCAAACAGAGAATGCATATTTTTCCATTTTATACTTGTAATATAATCAATTGATGTGATTAATCAAATATGTAATTGTAACCAAAATAGAACTTGTTCATGCATATGGTAGAAAGTTTACAGAAGTATATAATTTGGAACTTACAGAATAGTAGAACCGTTGATTAGGAAGTAGGATTGATTTTGTTGAACTTGAACTCTGAGATTTCGTGGTGTAGAGTGACCCTCTTGAATTGCCCGTTTATCTAATCAAAGCATATTTGGTCTTCGTTACTTTATGTTCGTTGCTTTTGTCAGGTGAACCCTTACATATAATTCCTAAATAATTGTAAATACTTTCATTTGTAATATTAAATAATTTTATCGTACATAGTTTCACATAATAAGTAGGTACAAACTTACTATTATAGATTAAGCATTGCAAATACCTTACGTTTTGTTCCCTGACATTGAAGCTGAAAATAAGATTCATTTGTAAGATTTTCTCCCTCTAGCTTGAGAATTGATAGGATAGAAAATCCATGAGTATGATTTTCTATGCACGCATGTTCACTAGTACTACTATCCATCAATACCAGCGAACTAAATAATCTATTAGTGTTGAGTTGGATTTCATCCTATTCTACCTTACTAGCTTTCTTCTGAGATTTTATTTTTGCTGTAGGCTTTATTTGGTGTTCTCTTGCTCCCATATATACCTAACTTGGATCCTTATCCTGGTCATGCCCCTCTACGTAGTGAATCTGTTGATGTTGCTGAATTCGAAAGACTTCCTGAAGGAGAACATATATGTCCTGAGCGGCATGTGAATTTGTTTTCAAGTAAGTATTATTTTTGTAAAATCCATCATCGTGTCCTTTGTGAAATATGAAGGATAAAAATCACTTTTTTTTTTCTTTTGATATTTATGAGTATTTGGGTCAACTTGTGCTAGTTCAAGCGTTTTCACAGGACAACGGCCTCACCATACTACATTTGGTCACTAGGGTAACTCATAAGATATTAAATCCTAAATTGGTGGTCACCATAGTTTGAACCAATCCCAAGCCCTTTATTATTTACTTCACCCTTATTGTCCACTAGACAAACCCATGATGATTGGATATCTATTGCTATTTGATGATTTAGATTGATGTCATTATGAATGCTATGGATTCTTTCTAACATAAAGGAAAATCATTGGGAGTAGAGTGCACTTGTATGTAAGGTCCTTGCAACATATTGTGCTTCAAGTAGGAAAATGGTTAAATAGCTTATACCCTTGAGGTAGTGAATTAGTTAGCTCAAATGGTTAATAGTCTAAAGGCTTTCAGTTTGGATCATGATTAATGATGCACTAAATTGCTCAAAAGTTCTTGAAAGAAAGCTTCCTTTGCCTTACATTTCTCCTTTGATTTGTCCTCTTCGCACATAAGATGTTCTTCGAATTCGTGCAATTCCTTGGTCCTCTTTAAGAAACAGTCCAAGCAGTAATCTTCTCTTCTCTTTCGAATGGGACTTACTTGGGGCTCAAATTATTCTGTGCGGGAGTATGTAAGGTTGAAGTTTCTTTGTGGCTATTGTCTTTGGAGCTCGAAAATGTAGATGGAGAAACATGTGTTGTGATTTTGTAAAGCCATACTTCATTCTATTTATCTTCATCCATTTGGCAACCCTCCATTTGACCAAGTGGCCAAATTAGCATTTTTGTAATTATCCCTCCATTTTCCTCTTAAATCTTTAGCTCAAAAGTTGATAATTATCCATTAGCCGACTTTATCATCAAATTAGTCACCTCCTATTTACTTTAAATCCCAATTAGCTAAACATGGAATTTACATTGCTAAGTTCGAATAACTTGGTAAATTTTAAATTTGTGGGCAGGTAAAGCTAATTTTAAAACAGTCATCTCTTTTTTCTTCCTTATTTATTTATTTCTTCATCGACTCACTAAATGCCAAAAGCTCCAATATAATATTCGTTTTGTCTACTGGGTGTTACACTGACTTGCTTGAAATGTTCATAGACATTGGAAGAAGCAAAAGATCAACAAGCGAGCCATCCGACCTGCGAAAATGCATTAAAGAAAAGGGAATAATTGACTTGTTCTTAACATCTTTAACAAAGAACCCATCATCTTCAATTCAAATGCTAAAGTACTTATTATCAATGCAACGATTTCTTTCTTCCATAACACACTTGGGCAAAAGAAAGGATTGAGAATTTTTTTTAACGAAACAAGTGAAAGAGTCCACAAAGAACCCATGAACCAGCAAAAATGGAACCTATGAGTATCAGTGAACAAAATGAAAGACTTGAGTGAGACCTATTTATTGGTCAAGCAACATAGACGGACGACGACAATGTACCTTGATTTGTCCCTTGGATTGATGGGAAACAAGGGGTTGGGACGCTAGTGTAGGCTGAAGATGCAAGGGAATGGAGAAATGTGGTGGCGACTTGAGTCTGAAGGTGGGAAAGGTTATGTTTGGTGGCAACAACGATTAGGGTGTAGAGGAGAAATCACATCTAACCAAAACAATTTTGACAAAAATACAAACACAGAAATTGTGGAAATATGTGCACAACTTATTGGTTATTAGTATAAGTTAGTAGTGGCATGTTAAGTAATTTAGAAATTTATAAATGGACAGAGTAGTCTAAAAATGTTTTACAAAGATTGTCCCTTTTTAATAGATTATAAATTACAGATTTAATTTTTCAGTGGTCTAGAGGACAACAATAGTTCTCTAATGAATTGGTTTAATTCTCTTCCAACAATTGTTACTTTTTTCCCCCACATATATTTCGTTTCTAACTGTGGTTACTTTTCACTAGAAATAACTTTTTCGTGGATGGATCACATAATGAAGCTAGGATACAGAAGACCACTCACGGAGAAGGATATATGGAAATTGGATACTTGGGATCGAACTGAAACATTATACAATAAGTCTGACTATCTCACTCTCGACATTATTTATTCAATTTTTTTTTCACATTATTTTTGGATCTTATTTACTATTTGCTCTAGCTTCCAGAAAACTTGGGCTGAAGAATCTCAAAAATCCAAGCCATGGCTTCTTAGAGCATTAAATAGTAGCCTTGGAGGAAGGTGAGTAGTGGACGAGTGAAAAATTGTTTCCATTTAATGAACTATATATTTACCAGTTGTAGTTTTCTTTCAGAGGTTTTAATGTCCTTAATGGAAACATTTTCCTTGTTTTGAATGGTGCATTCATAATTTACTAGTGTGTGTATGTATATTTGAAAGGAAACATCATTTCATTTATCATTAATGTAGTAAAATATATATAAGGAAGGATTCCTGAGGTCAATGAGGGTTACAAAACTTCCATCCAGTTGCATTGAAAAAGTTTCTTCAACATGATTGTCCTGATGGTTCTTATTCAAGAAACGAAGATTGGATCATTTGATAATCAATTAATCAAATCTTTTAGGAAGATTCTGTTTCTAGTGAAGTCTTGGTTTCACCTCAGAATATTTTTGGTGTCAGCCCTTCACCTCTTCCTTCAGCTCTGGGAAAATTTTCTTCTCTAATCGAAGCTAGTGTTTTACAATTTTTCGAAATCTCTCCCATTGAAGGATTGCATGCCATTCATTGAATCTTACTGATGTCTTGATCTTTTTCAAGACAATAATTAACTAAGATTTTTGAGATTTCAAGGGATGGGCATTGTTTATATCATAACCTTTCCTTGTTCGAGGTTATTTAACAATTTTTTGGTTTTTTGGAAATTGGGTGCATGATTAGAGAGAATTTGTAGAATTTAATTAGTATTTTGCATGTAGAGCCGTTGGTGCGTGTTGATCCAATTAATGCTGCTTCATTGGAAAAGACTGATTAAATTTGTGCTTCGCTTGTGAAAAGGTGGTGCTGGCTAAAGTCATGTATTAGTGATCTTTTGCATGTCACTTCAAATTTAATTGGCCTTTTGCAAGAAGTGCAGATGGTAGAAGTTGAATCAATTAATGTTGTTTTCGTTAATAACGACATAGATTTTATTAGGTGCTTCACATGAAGCTATGGTGATGGGCTAAAGAGTCAATTAGTGCTGTTTTGTTGTGAAAGGAAAAGTTTTTAAAAGAGCAGTCGGTGGAAATTTAAGAGTATTTTAGTGATGTTCTCTTGCATGCCTCTTCAATTTAATGGATCAGTTGGAGATTTAACTTCGGCAGACAAATGGTCGTAGAATTTCAGTTGGAGATTTTATCTTTGTTATACAAATGTTTGTTGGATTTCGAAGTCTTTTAGTCAACTTGTTGAGAGTTTTTATCTAGTAATTAGTTGAATTCGTCAATTCCATGAAGTATTTTGGAAACAATAAAGAATGCATCTTTTTCTGTTGGGGAGGGTCTTCAGAATCTTTGATAACCATCTTCTTTTCTGGATTGAGTTCTTTGAATCTGCAAGTCTAAAAGCTTTCTTCTAGGAGTTCTCTATCCAAATCTTTTGGTGTTATACTTTTACCAGATGAAAGTCTGGGTTCGTTTAATTGCTTATGAGTCCATTTTTGGCTCCAAAATCCAATCTTTTGTGGCCTTTAGCGGTCAAAGCTTTTCGTTTTGTTTTGTTGTTCGAAAGAAATCAAAGGATCTTCCATTTCAAGCTCCTCCCACGGATAGATTGCTTTGCTTCGGTTCGTCTTAAGGCTTTTTCATGGTGTTCTTTGCCTAAGTCTTTTGTTGATTTATTTTTACAGGTTTTGTGTCTAACCAAAGTGCCTTTATCTTTCTGTTGTAGTTCTACTTGTTTACCACTTTCATTTATTGTTTTGGATTTCGCTTTCTTTAGGACTTCGTATCTTTTGAGCATTTGTTTCTTTTCATTTTATCAATGAAAAGTGTCATTTCTCGTTCAAAAAAATTATATCTACAATCCAAGAAATTCAAAGTCTGTGAAGAACAATCAACCAAACCACCAGAGGGCCTTCCAATAGCTTCTGAACATCTTCCATCACAATAGCTTAAATGAAGGTTCTAAACTAAGAGAAATTAACTATTTTAATGTTCGCTCAGTATATAACATTTTCCAGCAACAAAATAGAATCAACTGTCCCTCAAATCTCTGCCCTCGGGGTTAGGAGTTCCATCACAAACATTTTTTTTAGATTGTGACTAAAAGTGAATTATGTGAAGTGATAAAGATGAAATGAATGTGTGCTACTTATATTTAGTATACGATAGAATACGACTTGTTTTGCTGCTCAATCTTTTATATTGTCTATCATTCATTTTCTTCTCTCCTTTGCATTTACAGGTTTTGGTTGGGTGGCCTTTGGAAGGTAATGTGATCTATCTTCTTGATATGATTAGCACATTTAGGGGAAAAAAATTGGAAAATGTTTATTGTATCAACCAAAACCTGATTTAGGAAAGTAACTTAAAAGAGTAATTACTCCTTTGCAATGTATGCTCATGCCTTTGGAATTTCTCTATTGTTTCCCCTAACACGATTTCCCCATTTGCTATGGAGAGATTTTCCGTTCAACTTCCAATGACAATTCATTGTGTGTAGTGAATTCTTGCCATGAGACATGATAAAATGTCTTTGTTACTCTTCCATTGGTTGTCTCTTCCGTTGTTTCTATCTTTTTTTCTTCTAGCAAGCAGTTGAATCTCTCAGTTTGTCCATCTGTCTGGGGTGATGGCTAGATGAGATATTCAAGGTTATCTCCAATAATCCAAACAACTCGGTCTAGAACGTTCTGATAAATCGACTATCCTTGTCATTGACGATGCTTGTTGGGATTCCCCATAACTTCACCATGTGTCTAAAAAACAACTAGGCCGTCAATTCAGCCGAGAAGGATCTTGCTTTTAGAATAAAGAAAAGCTAGCCAATTCTCTTCGACAATAGGTTACAATACAAAAGCTAGGAAAGTTGACTATGAGATTACACCAGTACTCCTAAAATTAAGGCTATTCCTTCTCCAAAAAGCACAGTAATTACAATATATCTTGTTATAGGCGCTCTAATTTGATGCCGTGAACGGTACATATTTTGGGAGTTTAACACCTAAACAATTACGAATAAATGTTCCTTGTTAAAAAGTTCAAAAACTTTTTTAAAAAAATAACAGGAAACTTTCCTTTTTCTATTCAAGAGGTTATTTCATTGGAAGTTTGTTTGGGTTCATGTTTATTTATTTATGTTTTTGCTCCCTTTCTTTGACTAACATGTTGAGGACCTACAGATTGGCAATGATATTTCTCAATTTGTGGGACCTGTCATCTTGAATAAACTTCTTGAGGTTGGTGGGCCTGTCTTTCTTTCTTCCTTTTTTTCTGGTTCCTTTCCTCTACTTCTTGCTGCTTCATCACTATATTCTCTCCTCTTCTAAGCATTTGATGCCTGGTAGTTTTTCATGTGAACTTACATCACATACCATTTATCATCGTTGATGATGCTGATGGAATGCCAATTAGTTTAAGCCTTCAAGGAATATTATGCTTGTCTAAATTCTTTTAGTTGTTCTTCCATTATGAAAACGTTCGTTTAAATTCCTATGAAAAAGAACCATCTTCTATATTTGGTCGATCTCAGGAGTATAATATATAGTACAATTGTGCGGCAATAAACCTCTTTGTATTTTTCTTTCTTCCAGTTAAATAATTTTTTTGATAGAACTTTTCACTGACGAACAAGAAAGCTACACAATGGTAACAACTTACTAAAGGAGAAGGAACATCAAACATCTGAACACGAGGAACGGCCAGTAGACACATCAAAAAGATATAAAATAAACTGTACAAACTATACGTATCTTGAGACCAGCCTTGAAACCTGGCAAGTCAACCTAAAACAGTAAAAATAACAAATATTTTGACCATATAATGGACCCTTCAAAAGGTACAAGAATTTTCTTAAGCTCCAAAGATTTGATAGATAAGATTAATCGCATTCACATTAGTTGGAGCAATATATGATACAAAAGTGTGAGGAACAAATAGTTTCCTCTCGGACAATGAATGACTAACAAAATTTGAGCACCAACTATGTCACATTTGGTTAAAAATAGGAATTTACATGCTACATGCCTTCTTATCTTAGTAACCACACCATTGAGTTAAAAAGAGGATATATCAGGGAATTTACATTTTCCTTATTATGGTAACAAAACTTTTCATTAAAGTAGGAATTTACATCATCGCAAAAATTTACATAACAATGAAAGCCTGGATTTATAAGTACCTTTTAGCACATTTTCCTAGTGAATTGTGTCCCTGTATATCTTACTCATGTTGTTTCGAATACCTGCAGTCCATGCAACGTGGAGATCCATCTGGAATGGGTTACATTTATGCATTTTCAATGCTTGCTGGAATGGTAAGACCCAAATTCCTGTTTTATTTTACCAAATCTTTGCATATCAACAAGTAGGTATGCACTTGATATTAACATATCTTCATCACGGCTTCAAAAGATGGTAGATCTTATTATTCAGATACTTGTCCTCACTGTGCATGTTTTACAATTATGGAGGTGGTGTTTGAATATCTAATATTTTAAGCCGATGAGAGATGAAATAGACTGTTTTAGGGTTAAAAAAAAGGTCAAATCTGATTGTGGTTGGTATGCTGAAATTTTGTTTGTCTTGTGAAGATGCCATATTGTATTTTGGTCTTGACTGGGTTTCTAGAAGAGTTTGGATGGTCTTTTTGGCAATGTTGAGGGATTGATCTGGTAGTTTTGTGGATGATACAAATGTGTACAACCTAATTATTCTTGAATAAGAGCCATGTTAGCATAAGTATGTATAAATCCCTAGACACTAGGTAACAATAATTCTAAAAAAATTCATGCACACTAGGTAAAAGTACAGATAAATTAGTGACGTCAACTACTTTTCTTATTTAATGGGATTACACAAATATCTTCTTCTTATAAGAATTGCACAAGTATTCCTTAAATCAAGGAACTTTCTTCGACCCTCTCCCTTAAGTTGAGGAATAAATATCATCTATTCTCAACTTGGATATGAACTCATGAAATAATAGTTCAAGCTATCTCTCAGACGATGCAACTTCAATTCAACAATTTCAACACCAACCCTTTTAATTTCAATGTGTCATCAATTTAAAGATGCGCTCTCTCAGGCACGACTTCAACAGTAACTATGAGCCGAATAAATTTAGCTAAGGTGGAAGATCGATAACTATGAAGGTTTCAAATTTGGCTAAGGTGGAGATTGGTAGCTATGGAGACTCCGAATAAATTTGGTAATGGAAGACCGGTAGCTATGAAAGCTCTGAATAAATTTGGTCAAGGTGTATGATTAATAGCTATGAAGGTTATATCAATTAATTAGGCCTCCTAGAATAGAGTCTAGAATAGAATGACTCTAATACCACGTTGTAAGTGTAAAATTATCTTGCTTTCTTTTATTTTAATTTTCAGAGAGGTTCATCACTCCCTAGATACTAGGTAGCTATATATATGAATAAATCTCTAAATACTTGGAAATAATAAACTAAATAAACCCGTATATACTAGGTAAGAATACAGATAAATGAGGAGGTCAAGAATACAAATAAAAAAGGAGGTTGAATGGAATTACACAAATATCTCCTAGCTAGAAGAATTACACAAATATTCCTTAAATTAAGATCATTCCTTTGACACTCTCCCTTAAGCTGAGGAATAGATAGCATCCATTCCCAGCTTGGATATCAATTCGTGAAATAGTAGTTAAAGCGATATTTTAGACGATGCAACCTCAATTCAACTAACCAACAATTTTGATTCCAACATATTTTTGATGTAAAGATGCGTTCCCTCAAGTATGCCAAGATATGACTTCAAGGGTAGAATGAAGGTTTCATCTAAATTTGGACCAAGTGGAAGATTGGTAGCTGTGAAGGCTTCGAATAAATTTGGTCATGGTGAAAGATTGATAGCAATAAGACTCTGATTAAATTTGGTCAAGTTGGAAGATTGGTAGCAATGAAGGCTCTAATTAAATTTGGTCATGTTATTCATAGAAGTTCACATAAGTTTTCGTGTATGCTAGTAATTGTTTTTAGAAATTTCAATTTGCTTGTTTGATTTATATGATAACTCCTCGATAGCTTTTTAACTCATATATGCCTTCAAAATGCTCATTTTGTGCATGAATTGCATGGCCTCAGAATATGTCACATATCTAATGGGTTTTTTGCTTCACAGCTCCTTGGAGTATTATGCGATGCACAATATTTTCAAAATGTGATGCGTGTTGGTTTTCGATTGAGGTCCACGTTGGTAACTTTCCCCTTCCATTTTATTTATTTTCGTCAATAAAGTTTATTTGTAAAGTCCTTCGATCTTAATTTGTCAGAATATGCTAAGACATTCTTTAAGCTATCGACGATTAAAATATCATTATCGATATTGATATTGGGATATCAATGTATTATCAATAAGATATTGTTATTGATAGATATTTCTATCACGAAAAAAAGTTATATAAGTATTTTAATTAATATTAAGTTGTTTTTACTTCCAAACTAAGTTATAAGCCTTGTATTAGTATTTATTCATATAAATATTTGTTAAACTTCAATAAATTATTTTAGAAAAATTAATTCATTTAAAAAACTTAGTTCTATTTTAAAATTTCTTTGATAAATATTTCAAGTTCGACTATTTGCTTGTACATTTATGTACTTGATTATTTATTATAATTTTGTAGTTAATCTAAATATAATGCACCTAACATTATATTTATATGAATGTTAAATTACCTGTTTGGTCATCGAATGTTCAAATTTATGTCTAATATTATCTAAAATGTAAAAAATGTCTAATTGGTTGGATTCCCAAACTTTATTTTTCATGTCTAAAATGTTCTTGAACTTCAAGTATTCCCAATAGATTCATAAACTTTCAATTTTTTATCCAATAGGTCTCGAGATATATTTAAAGTTTTTTAAAAACTATTTGTTCTTTGAATCTTAAACTTTTAATTTTGTTCTAAATAAATATAAGAAATTTTAAAACATCGAATAGATTGAGGCCTATAAGACACGATCAACTTTTTCAAGTTCTAAATATACCAAAGACCTATTGGATACATAATTGAAGGGTTTGGATGCAATTAAAAATAAGGATCTATTAAGTTCGTGGACTAATCTTGTAACTTAACCTTATATGAATTTGTTCCCGTCCATAAAGTATTGGATCTACCACTTGATATAATTTCTTTATCAATTGAGTTATACTCAAGTTGGTGTTAAAGTACTGTTATTCGATATTAAACCAATACTTACACATCCAGTTATGCAAATTATAACCTTAGTTTGACAACTTGAACTTAAAATGAATTATATAAAGCCGGGGCCCCAAAATATATTCTTTAGATTCGCCCCTGTATTGATGGATACGTTAATCCTTATTGACGACTTCAATATTGAACAATTACGTATGGGAAGATTAGGGTTTGTATGATTTATAGCTTTTCAATGTCTTGAACTTTATTTTCTTGTGACATTAATGGAACTTCAATTTCTGTCCCCATTTGTAATACAAGAAGCTTAAATTATTATTTTTCCCCTCATTAAAATGGATTATCCATGTGCTTTTATTTCTATTGAGGAAACAATGAATAATTTTTTAATCCACAGTGAGCTAGCTGAAACGTGTTAATATTTTCTCTTCCAAATTTAGTTTGGTGGTGTACAAAGACAGGGGTTGGGTACCATATGTAACAGCTCAAGCCCACCGCTAGCAGATGTTCTCTTGGGCTTTCCCTTTCGGGCTTCCCTCAAGGTTTTTAAAACGCGTCTACTAGGGAGAGGTTTCCACACCCTTATAATTAATGTTTCATTGTCCTCCCCAACCGATGTGGGATCTCTCGCCATAAATCCTTATGTTGTTGTCTAACAAAGCTAAAGTTAAGAACACTGGGCTCGTTTGAAAGGGAAAATGAACCTAAGATCTTTGATGAGGAATTCTGGTCTTTTTGCGAGTTGGGGTGCTTTATTCATGTTTGTAATTGCTCTTTTCTTTGATGCTTTATACAAAGTTCTTTGGAAATCCCTTTCCTTTGTCAAGGCAGCACCTTCTCTCCTTGGTATTTATCCTGATACAGGTTTGCTTGATTATATATCCTTTTTTAGGTTGCTTCTGTTTTCCGCAAATCCTTGAGGTTAACTCATGAGGCACGCAAGGAGTTTCCTACTGGAAAGATAACCAACTTGATAACCACGGACGCTGCGACACTTCAGGCACATTTTAAGTTTCATCTTTTTTTTTATATATATATATGTTGTATAGGCAATATCAAAAGCATTCTATGAGTTCTCTTAGTTCTTATAAAACACTCCATTGAAATTAATGTCAAAATGTTGGGTCTTTCTAAGATATCAAAGCTTAGAGGATTTGGCTCAATTAGATTAGTTTTACATTTTAGTATTTATTTGGATGAATCACGAGTTGTAAATAAGAATCAAATGTTAGAAAAGTTCATGGTCTCATAATAGGGAAAGAAACTCTGACTGTTAAGTTCTTATTAAAATTCTAAAACTTACACAATTTATTTTATTCATTGTCATGCTTCGTTGGTCTTGATATCCAGGAGATAACCCAGTCACTTCACACGTTATGGTCAGCTCCCTTCCGTATTACGATTGCTATGTTTCTTCTGTACCAGCTGTTGGGAGTTTCTTCCCTTCTTGGTGCACTGCTGCTATTTCTTTTATTTCCAATACAGGTTTGTACTTAACAATTTTTCAACTTTGAAATAGTTTCTAAAGGAAGCGTACTGTTATGTATTGAAAATATTACTATTTTCCACTTAATGAAATATATGCAAAATTGCTGTTCCAAACCTCATATAGGCAAAGACCTTATATATAGGCAAGAGGAAATGTTGATGTAGGATTAGTGGTTAATCTTCGAGGATTCCTTAGTTATTTCTTTTACGTTCCCTTTTTGGATTTTAGTTCTTCATTTGCTTTTAATTGTATATAATTAGAAGATTACCCTCTTGTATTGGTTTCACAATGAAGTTGAGTTTTAGATTCTTGTAGAGCATTCTTTTCTTTTTCTTGTTTATCTCCTAGGTTAAACCAATTTGGTATTTGGGCAAGCACTTAGGCCAATGTTGGCTGTTTTGGTGGAAGACCAGGAAACTCTTGTTGATGTCGATCGCAAAGGGGAGCTTTGTCAGCTATGCTTGTTGTTCAACAACCCACATTTATTTACAAGATGATACTTTGTCAAGTATTCTCTTTTCAAAATTAGATAGGAAATTTCAAGAATTTTTCCAAAGAACAGAGTGCTACAACATTAGAAGAATGGTATTATAGATCACGATCAAGGGAGGCGGAAGCCTCTTCAAGAACACACCTAAATTCCCACATCAACCGTGAAGCCTTAGAGGAAATCAATAAAGGGGTGGTCGAAGTTCAACATCTTTTAGATTATATTATAGCGTTTTGGAATGTTTTACCACAAAATAACATGAATTCCAATTGACAAGAATTGCGAGTATTGTAAGGAGTGTTCAAACAAATATAAAAAACCATATAGAATTGAGAAGATGAGTTTGAAAAAGTCCTAAAAAAAAAGGAAAAAGAAAAGAAAATCACTCAAAAGCATTTAACCGTGCAAGATAAGTTTGAAGAACCATGGTTGAAGTTATGGAGTGAAGAAAATGAAGGGGAAATGATGAAGTTGAAGACAGGAAGTTGCAGATCTCGTGAGTAGAGAAGAAGACAAGATATAGGAGGAAGAAGAAGACTCATTGGCTGCGATCCAACATGGTGCTCATCTGAAAAATCTCATGTTTTGTATTCCATGAATCGTGCGACTTGATCTGTCACTAAATCCGTTATTTCTTTGAACAATTTGACTCGTATGATGGTTATTTCAACCTAAGAAGTGCGTGGTGTCACAACCTCACTGAGACAAAGTAGGTTGAAATCCCCACACATAAAACAGACAAGGGGCGACTTTCAAGTGGCGCCCATCTGGACACATGAGGGCCAACATAGACAAATTCCATTATGCAAACGAGGAGGACAGTGCATCATCCAACACAACAAGAGTTGGGGTTTCGATATTAGTTTCAATATGTAGCTTTGGATTTAAGTCTGTCTAAATGAAAGATGGAAGCTCACCAAATTTGGTGTCAATCGAATACTCAACGGGCGCTCTACGGGGCCATATGACTGCTTGCCAAAATAACATTTACTCCAAAAAGATTGGAAATGCCTCAAAATGTACCATAGAGGGAGGCATGGTGTTAGCTCTCCACCAGTAGGGTCCTATGGCCTGAGCGAGCTACTTTGTGGCACATGCATGTATCATAGTGAGGGCAAACGTTGTGAGATGAGTGATTCGGGTGACTTGACCTCGAGTAGAGGCAAGGTCGGGACGGATGACTTGGCCTAGTGTAGAGGTAAGTCGATCGGGTTGCAGAAGATTTAACATGCATGCACAGGCAACGTGTGTGGCCGAACAACCTTGGATTCTGCACGTGCTGTGTTCGGTTGCTGAAGACAAACCTCGCTTAAGGTCCGACGAAGCCACAAAGCGGGCGAAAAGTGAATATGGTGGCTTGGGTTCCCTTATAAATTTGTCGTGAGCGTGTCAAGATCACGACGCCGCACAATTGGAAAATGTACGACTGTGGCATGTGGATTGATCCAATTCCAAGCCCAATCATTTTCTTAATAAAAATTGGTCCAACCCACATGCTTCAAGCCCATACTTATTACAGATTTGACATGACCCAATTTATCTTCGCAAGAATATTTTTGCAATAGTAGTGTTCAATGAAGGAGCTGGCAACGATGTTTTATCTCTAAGCATAACTTGAGCATGTCATTCCCATCCCGTAATGCTGTGTTTGACCTCGCCGATTTCAAATAATAATTTGACGCCAGCTAGGTCCAGGATGAGTTAGAATTGTCTCTTGCTATTAATGATTCCCATTCTTTTGGCCTTCCTTATTTGTATAAATAATTTGTGGAGTTTTCCCTTGAAGTAAATAGGTCCTAATAGAATAAATAACTATTATTTAGGTGAAAGGAAATCTTAGAAATTAAAGCAAAAAAAAAAAAAAAAAAACCTGTCATGTTCACAAACCATCGTAGAGTTCTTGGTTTCCACCATGTAGACCTATTTTTAGCCTTGAATTAAGTTTTGTCTACATTGCTTTGAATACTTACGATCTGTATGAGTGTATGTTCATGTAATTGCGTTGACATATTAAGTAACAGGTTTAATACCATTTCAAGATTACATAACATTTTATGTTATTATGTTTTGTGATGACAGACACTTGTAATCAGCGAATCACGGAAACAGTCCAAAGAGGGATTGCAACGCACAGACAAGAGAGTTGGTCTCATGAATGAGATTTTAGCTGCAATGGACACATTGAAGTATGCAATATAAGAATAAAATACTCCTTATTTTATTATCTAAAACTTAACTCATAATTTTGATGGCTCTTGGAAATGGATTAGATGTTATACATGGGAGAAAAGCTTTCAGTCGAAAGTACAAAGTATCCGAAATGATGAGTTGTCATGGTTCCGCAAGGCATCACTTCTTGGAGCGGTATGCTATAATTGTTTCTAGTTGTATCTTTTGTACAGATTTTTTGCACTTAAATATTGCTCCCTTACATTTTAATTCTGGAGTTTCATTAAAAGGAGTAACACAATGTTTAGGGCTCTTCTGTTTTTGTACTTGGATTTTGTGAACTTCTTGTCTGCAACAGTTCCTCTTGCCATCGCCATTGTGGTTTTGACCCGATTTTGTGGTCGTTTTTGTCACTGTCACTTCCTCACCGTAGAGGAACTCTAGTTGCCAAGCAGTGGAACCCTTTGGTTGTTTCCTAGAGCTTCAAAACATTGACGAGACCAAAGGTTTAGGTAGGTTTTGGATTTTAAACCAATCACCAAAGCTGGTAACAACTTTTTTTCTTCCATGCTTCTTGAGTGACCATTTTTCAATCCTCAAATAAAAGTTTCAATCCTTGAAAAGGTGTGGAAACCTCCCCCTTACAGACGCGTTTTGAAATTGTGAGGCTGGTGGTGGTACAAAATATGCTAAAACGGATAATATCGACTAGTAGTGGGCTTGAGGCTGTTACAAGGTTATCAGAGCCAAACACCGAGCGGTGTACCAGCGAGGACGCTGGGCCTTGAAAGGGTGTAGATTGTGAGATCCCACGTCAGTTGGTAAGGGGAACGAAGTATTCCTTATAAAGGTGTGGAAACCTCTCCTTAACATATGAGTTTTAAAACCATGAGGTTGACGGCGATACTTAACGGGCTAAAGCAAACAATATCTGCTAACGGTGGGCTTGGGCTGTTACATAGCCGCTCTTTCTTATGTTTACTAGGATCACTTGTCCAGCATGTCGATTGTTTCTTCAATGTCCATTTTGATGTGGTGAAATAGTATTCTCATATCTGCTATACATGGCTATATAATTTAATAATCCCTAAGGAATTTAGATAATGGAGTGAATTCATATGAATTTTCTCCATTTGCTACTACTCGATTTAACAATTTTACTTGATTTTGCAGTTAAATAGCTTCATACTGAATAGCATTCCTGTTTTGGTGACTGTGACTGCTTTTGGATTATTCACGGCTTTTGGGGGAGACTTGACTCCATCTAGAGCATTTACGTCACTTTCACTATTTGCAGTGCTTCGGTTCCCTCTACTCATGCTTCCTAATATAATAACTCAGGTTCTGTTGTATGCCTTTCCATTTTTATTCTTTAAAATTTTTCTGGCTTGGATATGTGACTTACATTAACTCGTATATGGTCTCTACAACGATGGTTGGGGTTGTTGACACTTCAGTTTCTTGCTTATGCTTCTTACTACTACCTTTATTTTAATGGGTGTAATGTAACATCACTAAATCATTATGTTTATTTGGGTCGGAGCTAATTTCATGTTACTCGCATAAAATGCCTATGCAGTTCTGGGATTTTTCATCCCTGCACCACAACTAATTAGGCATCCAGGCTACTGACCACTATAGCATCCATTAACACTTTCTTCCATAAATGGTTATAATATTTTACTATTATTTATTAATTTTTCTCTGCTGAATTTTAATTAACTTAAGTTGTGAAGGCGCAAAACTAATGCATACTATCTTCTTCTCTCATTTCTCTGTGCTAAAATGTCGATTAGTTTGAATATGTTTTGCTCTATCATGATGGATACTTATGTGCAATATTGATAGTTGATTTGTTGTTGCAGTACAACTTAATAACACTTTTTCCTTTAATTGGTAAATCATCAAGGATTATCTTCAACCATAAGAGTTCACGTAACCATTGTGCAATAGCTCAGAATTTTGATTCGGTAGATGATCTAGCCACCACATTTTGCTTTTTGCATCTCCATGTTACTAAATTACCTCCAAGAAACGTACAATACCCTGTAGTAGATCTTCTGTCTACTATTGATCCAGCATAGTCAGCATCAATATAAGCTTCCAATTCAAAGGAATTATTTCGCTGGAATAAAATTCCTTTCCTGAAGCTCTTATGTGGATCCATTGGTTTGTTGTAGGTTTACATTCACTTTTTCCTATTCCCGTCAATAAATCCGTCGCATATTTCTGTTTTGATATGAAAATACCCTGAGCTGAGTATGCTACTTCAATACTGAGGAAGTACTTTAGCCTTCCAAGCTCTATCACAAACTCTTAATTTCGAGATTCGCTATGTTTTCCCCTGAAGAGAGACTTCAAAGGATGGTTCATGCTTGGTAAATGTGACATCAATTGAAGCGTAAGACTCTTTAGATGTAAGGTCTTTAACATTTGTACCTCTTTATGGTCGAAGAATATCCTAGGACACATTTTATTGTTCTCAGGTCATGTTTACCTCTCTGGGTGCATCCAAATACATGGGCGGTGAGACCATTTGATGTTCGAAAGTGAGGATGAAACTTGTTGAGGACTTCTATTGGGCTTAAATTATTTAGGACACGAGATGAGAGATGATTAATCATGTGAGTTGCAGTAGGAATTGCCTCTGCTCAGTAAGTTTTTGGCAAGTTTCTATTTAAAATAAATTCTCGATTAGTGTTTAAAAGGTGCCCATTTTTCTGTTTTATTGTGGTGTAATAACTTACGAAGAATCATGGATAATGCAGAGATTGGAAATATGGGGATAAGGTTCGAGTGAAATAATCTATGGCATTGTCAGTTCTAAATGTTTTAATTTTGACTCCAAATTGAGTCTCAAATCATTGAGTTGAAGGAATGAATAATATTACTAACATTTGACTTTTGTTTGAGAAGGAATAACTATGTGATCCGAGTATAATCATCAATTAATGTGAGAACCCAACGAGTACTAGAAATACTTGGAATAGTTGAGACCCCCATATATCACTATGAATCAAATAAAAAGGGATATCTTTTATTTTGACTAGTGGGGAAAGAGACACAAGTATGCAAATTCACATATATCACATTGAAAATCATAGATTTGAAGTCCTTAAAACAAATCTGGAAACATAATTCTCAAAACTCTAAATGAGGGTGAAACATAATTCTTAAAACTCTAAATGAGGGAGGACCCATGGGAAATTGATGTAACCTAATTCCATCTTTATTAGAGGAACCAAGAAATGACATCGGTACGTGGTTGGTTGTTTTCTTAGGTAATTGTAAGTAGTATAGGCCATTCAATTTCTTAGAAAGTTCAATCATCTATTTTGAGTTCTGGTCTTGAAAAACACAATATGACGAGGAGAAAATAGCCTTACAATGGCTGTCGTGGGTAAACTTTTGTATGGAAAGTTGCCTATTAGATAATTTTAGGACTTGTAGGACATTTTTAGTGTACGAGAAATAAATACATTGTCTATTCCTACAGTGGTGGCATTGGCTTTATTTGCCATTGTAATTTTTAGATTACTCGGGCATAGTTTATTTATATTTTAAAAAATTGTGAGCAAGGGATTATATAATCAGTTGCACCAGAATCTATAAGCCAAGAGTTAACCTGACTTATAATTGAAGGGTTTATACAGAAAGTGAATGAAGACTTACCTGAGATTGTCAAGCTATTAGAACTTGATGGTTTGTTGAGCGAGTTCAAGAATACCTTCAATCTCTCAGTCTCTTCATTATTAAACTACTAGTCTTCCCCACTAGTGCCTTTTATTCTGATTTGGACTCCCCTGCGATGTATGCTCGTGTTTTCGACATTTATCCTTTATTTCTCAAACTACGAATGAATGTAAGTATGCCTGCAAATTGATGGATGAATAGATGAATGAATTTATATCGGGCTTGCTACTGCACTTGTGGTGAATGAAGCTGGGAATGCTAATGCGAATGTTGCGGCCTTCGTGCTGTGAATACTCTTCTACGTGATTATTGATTGCCATACATTGCTAATGCAATTCTGGAACAATGATGTTTCAATGGTGAAGGGTAGTTATGAAGACTTCAAATACATTTGATCAAGGTGGAAGTTTGGTAGCTATGAACGCTCTGAATAAATATAGTCATGGTGGAAGATATTTTATTTTACTATGATTAATTAGTTCTGGTTACTCACCCACTACTTTTGACCCTCAATCATGCCACGCTATCTCATGCATGTTCTGCACTATGTTTCTAATGTGCTAATGTGCAACAATACACCTTACCCACTAGTCTCAGCCTTGTGCGCGCACGTAGCCTTAGATAGTTGTTTGCTCAGTTGGTTGGCCTTTAAGCAAGTAGTTTTGCATATAGTTTAGCATGTTACCTTCAATTTATCATGTGAATACTAAACACTTGTAAAGGTGCGGGCTGTATGGACATGCTTGTTCTTTTGTTTTCTTCAAATGTACTTTTTGGCTATTAGATTCTATTCTTTTGGAACTCATGCATGACCTTATCTCTTTTTATAGTCCTTTTTGGTAAGCTTCAGTGACAGTAAAATATCTTTTTGTCTATCTCTAACTTCTATTATGATAGGTAGCTTCAATGTTAAGCAAGCGACATTACAGTTATGATGTTATGGTTTTATTTCTATTATGTTACTTAAGGAGCCATTGATTGACAGGTGGTAAATGCTAAAGTATCACTAAAGCGACTAGAGGAGCTACTTCTTGCTGAAGAGAAAGTCTTACTTCCAAACCCACCATTAAATCCAAAACTTCCGGCCATCTCAATCAAGAATGGATACTTTTCTTGGGATTCAAAGGTACACTCTCTTTTTACAAAAGTTCTTTTTTTTTTTTTCTTTTTTCTGTTTTTTGCTGTATTTTGTGTGTATTTGGGTAGGCATACAAACATAGTTTTAATGAATTAAATTTAAATTTAAGATAATGTAACTCAATAAAGAACCTTCTGTTGAAGGGAAGGAATGGCCTTGAGTTTAAGATTATTTGTATAATTTCTAGGCTTAACTTAGAAAATATATTTCTAATCCCATTAAATAAGTTAAATAGAGCGGCTCCCTAGTTTATCTGTATTATTATCGAGTACCCATGCTGGGAATAGACATGTATTCTTCAGCTTGAGAGGGTGTTGAAAGAATGACCATGATTTAAGGAATATTTGTGTAATTTCTAGTCTTAAGTTTGGAGATGTTTGTGAAATACCATTAAATAAGGGGTAATTGACCTCCCTAATTATTTCTATCGTTACCTTGTGTTTAGAGATTTATTTAGATCTATTGTTATGTAGCACGGGACATTTATTTAGATTTTTTGTTACATAGTATCTAGGGATTTTTTCATATTTGTTGTTACGCAGTATCTAGGGATTTAATTAGCTTTTCTGCATTACAAAAAGCACATGCAAGCAATACCATTTAGACGTGCAACGACATTTTTAACTCTTACTACTGCATCGCATCATTAGTTGGAGGTAGTCAGAAGCATCCTCTTACACATTTTTTATTTAAAAGGGCAGATTTTTGTTCTAACAATTATTTTATACATATTCTTATGAGAAACCTAAGGAAACATACAAAAACATAGCTTAACAAAAGAAGTCACAAAGCTAACGGTACAAAAATGAGCTTCACAATAAGACCAAAAGGATAACGACAATACTCTGATATTGATGCCCTATCTAACAAATACCTTTATAAGCACACTTATTAACAGTAGAAACAGGGGAATGTTATTACTTCCTTTATAGTCAAAGGTCTCATCTCTCTAAATGAAAAGGTGTAGTTTCTTGTAAAAGAAGAAAGAAAAAAGAAAAGAAAGTCTACATCTCTCTAAATGCTATATATTTAATTTATAACGCACTTCTCAATTACCTACTTGTTCCAAACAATCTTATCTTAGTTGAGAGCTGGTAACATAACACATTGATTCGTTTCTCGGATGAAATTCTAGAGGCAGTTTTTGATTGCAACACTACTATTTTTTTTTTTTTTTTTTTTTTTTTTTTTTTTTTTTTTTTTTTTTTTTTTT